CCATGTTACCCAGTGTAATCACTCACCTCAGTCGTCACCTCCCATGTTACCCAGTGTAATCACCACCTCAGTAGTCGCCTCCCATGTTACCCAGTGTAATCACCACCTCAGTAGTCGCCTCCCATGTTACCCAGTGTAATCACTACCTCAGTAGTCACCTCCCATGTTACCCAGTGTAATCACCACCTCAGTAGTCGCCTCCCATGTTACCCAGTGTAATCACCACCTCAGTAGTCACCTCCCCCATGTTACCCAGTGTAATCACCACCTCAGTAGTCACCTCCCATGTTACCCAGTGTAATCACCACCTCAGTAGTCACCTCCCCCATGTTACCCAGTGTAATCACCACCTCAGTCGTCACCTCCCATGTTACCCAGTGTAATCACTTCACCTCAGTAGTCGCCTCCCATGTTACCCAGTGTAATCACCACCTCAGTAGTCATCTCCCATGTTACCCAGTGTAATCACCACCTCAGTAGTCACCTCCCATGTTACCCAGTGTAATCACCACCTCAGTAGTCATCTCCCCATGTTACCCAGTGTAATCACTACCTCAGTAGTCGCCTCCCATGTTACCCAGTGTAATCACCACCTCAGTAGTCGCCTCCCATGTTACCCAGTGTAATCACTCACCTCAGTAGTCACTCCCATGTTACCCAGTGTAATCACCACCTCAGTAGTCGCCTCCCATGTTACCCAGTGTAATCACCACCTCAGTAGTCACCTCCCATGTTACCCAGTGTAATCACCACCTCAGTAGTCACCTCCCATGTTACCCAGTGTAATCACCACCTCAGTAGTCGCCTCCCATGTTACCCAGTGTAATCATCACCTCAGTCGTCACCTCCCATGTTACCCAGTGTAATCATCACCTCAGTAGTCACCTCCCATGTTACCCAGTGTAATCATCACCTCAGTAGTCACCTCCCATGTTACCCAGTGTAATCACACCTCAGTAGTCACCTCCCATGTTACCCAGTGTAATCATCACCTCAGTAGTCACCTCCCATGTTACCCAGTGTAATCACCACCTCAGTAGTCACCTCCCATGTTACCCAGTGTAATCACCACACCTCAGTAGTCGCCTCCCATGTTACCCAGTGTAATCACCACCTCAGTAGTCGCCTCCCATGTTACCCAGTGTAATCACCACCTCAGTAGTCGCCTCCCATGTTACCCAGTGTAATCACCACCTCAGTAGTCACCTCCCATGTTACCCAGTGTAATCACCACCTCAGTAGTCGCCTCCCATGTTACCCCAGTTACCCATCACCACCTCAGTAGTCGCCTCCCATGTTACCCAGTGTAATCACTACCTCAGTAGTCGCCTCCCATGTTACCCAGTGTAATCACTCACCTCAGTAGTCGCCTCCCATGTTACCCAGTGTAATCACCACCTCAGTAGTCGCCTCCCATGTTACCCAGTGTAATCACCACCTCAGTAGTCACCTCCCATGTTACCCAGTGTAATCATCACCTCAGTCAGTCACCTCCCATGTTACCTAGTGTAATCATCACCTCAGTCGTCACCTCCCATGTTACCCAGTGTAATCACCACCTCAGTAGTCGCCTCCCATGTTACCCAGTGTAATCACCACCTCAGTAGTCGCCTCCCATGTTACCCAGTGTAATCACCACCTCAGTAGTCGCCTCCCATGTTACCCAGTGTAATCACCACCTCAGTAGTCGCCTCCCATGTTACCCAGTGTAATCACCACCTCAGTAGTCGCCTCCCATGTTACCCAGTGTAATCACCACCTCAGTAGTCGCCTCCCATGTTACCCAGTGTAATCACTACCTCAGTAGTCGCCTCCCATGTTACCCAGTGTAATCACCACCTCAGTAGTCGCCTCCCATGTTACCCAGTGTAATCACCACCTCAGTAGTCACCTCCCATGTTACCCAGTGTAATCACTTTACCTCAGTAGTCGCCTCCCATGTTACCCAGTGTAATCACTCACCTCAGTAGTCGCCTCCCATGTTACCCAGTGTAATCACACCTCAGTAGTCGCCTCCCATGTTACCCAGTGTAATCACCACCTCAGTAGTCGCCTCCCATGTTACCCAGTGTAATCACCACCTCCTCAGTAGTCACCTCCCATGTTACCCAGTGTAATCACCACCTCAGTAGTCGCCTCCCATGTTACCCAGTGTAATCACCACCTCAGTAGTCGCCTCCCATGTTACCCAGTGTAATCACCACCTCAGTAGTCACCTCCCATGTTACCCAGTGTAATCACCACCTCAGTAGTCACCTCCCATGTTACCCAGTGTAATCATCACCTCAGTCGTCACCTCCCATGTTACCCAGTGTAATCACTACCTCAGTAGTCGCCTCCCATGTTACCCAGTGTAATCACTTCCTCAGTAGTCACCTCCCATGTTACCCAGTGTAATCACTACCCCAGTAGTCGTCTCCCATGTTACCCAGTGTAATCATCACCTCAGTCGTCACCTCCCATGTTACCCATTGTTATCACTACCTCAGTAGTCGCCTCCCATGTTACCCATTGGAATCACCACCTGAGTAGTCACCTCTCATGTTACCCAGTGTAATCACCACCTCAGTCGTCACCTCCCATGTTACCCAGTGTAATCACCACCTCAGTAGTCGCCTCCCATTTTACATAGTGTAATCACCACCTCAGTAGTCGCCTCCCATGTTACCCAGTGTAATCACCACCTCAGTAGTCATCCTCCCATGTTACCCAGTGTAATCACCACCTCAGTAGTCACCTCCCATGTTACCCAGTGTAATCACCACCTCAGTAGTCACCTCCCATGTTACCCAGTGTAATCACCACCTCAGTAGTCACCTCCCATGTTACCCAGTGTAATCACCACCTCAGTAGTCGCCTCCCATGTTACCCAGTGTAATCACCACCTCAGTAGTCACCTCCCATGTTACCCATTGTAATCACCACCTCAGTAGTCACCTCCCATGTTACCCATTGTAATCACCACCTCAGTAGTCATCTCCCATGTTACCAAGTGTAATTACTACCTGAGTAGTCGCCTCCCATGTTACCCAGTGTACTCATCACCTCAGTAGTCGCCTCCCATGTTACCCAGTGTAATCACCACCTCAGTAGTCACCTCCCATGTTACCCAGTGTAATCACCACCTCAGTAGTCGCCTCCCATGTTACCCAGTGTAATCACCACCTCAGTAGTCGCCTCCCATGTTACCCAGTGTAATCACCACCTCAGTAGTCATCTCCCATGTTACCAAGTGTAATCACTACCTGAGTAGTCGCCTCCCATGTTACCCAGTGTAATCATCACCTCAGTAGTCACCTCCCATGTTACCCAGTGTAATCATCACCTCAGTAGTCACCTCCCATGTTACCCAGTGTAATCATCACCTCAGTCGTCACCTCCCATGTTACCCAGTGTAATCATCACCTCAGTAGTCACCTCCCATGTTACCTAGTGTAATCATCACCTCAGTCGTCACCTCCCATGTTACCCAGTGTAATCACCACCTCAGTAGTCACCTCCCATGTTACCCAGTGTAATCACCACCTCAGTAGTCGCCTCCCATGTTACCCAGTGTAATCACCACCTCAGTAGTCGCCTCCCATGTTACCCAGTGTAATCACCACCTCAGTAGTCGCCTCCCATGTTACCCAGTGTAATCACCACCTCAGTAGTCGCCTCCCATGTTACCCAGTGTAATCACCACCTCAGTAGTCGCCTCCCATGTTACCCAGTGTAATCACCACCTCAGTAGTCGCCTCCCATGTTACCCAGTGTAATCACCACCTCAGTAGTCGCCTCCCATGTTACCCAGTGTAATCACCACGGCAGTAGTCGCCTCCCATGTTACCCAGTGTAATCACCACCTCAGTAGTCGCCTCCCATGTTACCCAGTGTAATCACCACCTCAGTAGTCACCTCCCATGTTACCTAGTGTAATCATCACCTCAGTAGTCACCTCCCATGTTACCTAGTGTAATCATCACCTCAGTCGTCACCTCCCATGTTACCCAGTGTAATCACCACGTCAGTAGTCGCCTCCCATGTTACCCAGTGTAATCACCACCTCAGTAGTCACCTCCCATGTTACCCAGTGTAATCACCACCTCAGTAGTCGCCTCCCATGTTACCCAGTGTAATCACCACCTCAGTAGTCGCCTCCCATGTTACCCAGTGTAATCACCACCTCAGTAGTCGCCTCCCATGTTACCCAGTGTAATCACCACCTCAGTAGTCGCCTCCCATGTTACCCAGTGTAATCACCACCTCAGTAGTCGCCTCCCATGTTACCCAGTGTAATCACCACCTCAGTAGTCACCTCCCATGTTACCCAGTGTAATCACCACCTCAGTAGTCACCTCCCATGTTACCCAGTGTAATCACCACCTCAGTAGTCGCCTCCCATGTTACCCAGTGTAATCACCACCTCAGTAGTCGCCTCCCATGTTACCCAGTGTAATCACCACCTCAGTAGTCGCCTCCCATGTTACCCAGTGTAATCACCACCTCAGTAGTCGCCTCCCATGTTACCCAGTGTAATCATCACCTCAGTAGTCACCTCCCATGTTACCCAGTGTAATCACCACCTCAGTCGTCACCTCCCATGTTACCCAGTGTAATCATCACCTCAGTCGTCACCTCCCATGTTACCCAGTGTAATCATCACCTCAGTCGTCACCTCCCATGTTACCCAGTGTAATCATCACCTCAGTCGTCACCTCCCATGTTACCCAGTGTAATCACTACCTCAGTCGTCACCTCCCATGTTACCTAGTGTAATCACCACCTCAGTCGTCACCTCCCATGTTACCCAGTGTAATCACTACCTCAGTCGTCACCTCCCATGTTACCCAGTGTAATCACCAGGTCAGTGGTCACCTACATCGTCAATCGACATAAAATGCTGGTAAAATAGTGTTTCCCGGAATGAATTATTTCAAAATAATGGAACACGTGCTCCATATTCAATTACTGTTTGTGCACCGAAATCTAAAACCAAGACACAAGTAACCAAATGAATATGAAACTCTAATAACATTTATTTCAAAAAACATAAAGCATTGGAAAGAAAAAAACAATCTTTCTGTCTCGTTGTATTCATAGTCTTAAACTAACAGCTGGCACAAAGAAGCAAAGCAAGAAATACCGAGCTATCAGAACACTGAGAAGTAGATCATATATGTCTACAGTGGCTGCATGCGATAATAGAATTAAGTAATATGTGTTTGTCAGCAAGCAGCTTTAATACCATGTATGTATTTCCTTCATATGAAGTGTTTTCCAGTCACTGTGAAGATATGTAACGCCGTCTCGAGATATCAATACATATTCAAAAGGGTTTTCTTATCGAGACTTTACATTGTCAGATAACAAGGGCTAATCTGAAGGAAAGGCAAGGGATTATGAATATTTCCCCCAAAAAACGTGAACCTCACTTTGTTTTGGTGTACAGTGATATTTCAGTGAAAACATAATGCATCTGCCTCCTCCTGTACTCGCTGATGCTACACGCTTGACGCCTTGGCTTTAACCACAGCTACACGTCGACTACTCTGTGTACACCATCCAACCCAAACACCAGACGGTCGGGCCACGACTTCACGTCAACAACATTAATACAAGCGTGTATAGAACAATCTATGAAACGGAATATATATACATGTGATGTGAACACTTGATATCAACACATTTAGCTGCTGGTAAGCCCCTTCGTCATGGCTCCTCGGTCAGCTGGCCGAACAGACAAGCCGAACAGACAGTTGTTCGGACACACGGACCTCTATCAACTTGGTGCGCGAGAATCGGCCAGTTGTGGATTCTCGTGAATGACCGGTATGTTACCATTGTCAAGTCTTGACTTTTTTTCACAGTGATTTTAAAAATTGAAAGACTTTTTCCAACCCTCAACTGATCCTCAACTGAGTTAGCAGGTACAAATGTAGTGAAACAATTTGCTCCGTGTCGAGTTTGGATGGAAAGCTGGTAGACTTGTTCACATGTTTGGAAACATTAAATGTTAGTCCGTGTCTGTCAACACAAATGTTACACTTCGGTTGATGGAAAGTTATAAATGTGATCGAGTATATCACAGTACACAAAAATCATCTATTCTAGTTTCCTACAACAATTGAAGCATTGACATTTCACAATTTTGGAAATTTTTATCTTACTTATCTAGTTAGTGAGTGAGAAGAACAGAATGAGTACCGCAGTTATATTTCTGAATCGGAAAGATCAACATACGCATGTGTCCTGCTGTGTGTGACAAGCGGTTACATACTCAGACGGAGTGAGTGAGGTATTCCGAGTTCAAGCCATGACTAGGCACATGGGTGTTGATGTATTGTGTCACTCTAGTTATCCCATGCACTGGGCGGGACTACGGTTAAATCAGCAGCACTATTTGCTAAACCAACCAACCTAAACATCTTCTACTTTCTCGTCAAACATACAGACACGCTTCTTGTGATTTAATCAAGACGAAAACAGGGAGTAAAAATAGTACTGAAAACAAACATGCAAACATTAACACGCATGGTTAAAATCTGATGAAAGAAAATCATATACAGGTGTGTGTGTGTGTGTGTGTGTGTGTGTGTGTGTGTGTGTGTGTGATTTGTGCTATCAATACACAAATAGTTCATTGAAGTATTATAGTATTACACATCCTGTGTAATATATACTGTACACAAAAGAAGCATTGTCATGGCGTTGTTTAGAAGTTTTCATAATGGTGAACGTAAGTTGGTCCTTCAAGCTTGTTGAGGCTGCTGCACGCGGATTCAACGCTCAGCGTCATTGGCGGGGATCCACAGCTGAACACTCCGATGCTCTGAGCCTGTAACGTGGCAACAGGGGAGATAATGTCGCATGTATCGTGACCGGCAAAATAGGTATATGCAACCCTCACTGGGCTACTGCTACTGCCACTACAACTACTATTGCTGCTACTGTTACTACAACTACTATTGCTACTGCTGCTACTGCCACTACAACTACTACTGCTGCTACTGTTACTACAACTACTACTGCTGCTACTGCCACTACAACTACTATTGCTGCTACTGTTACTACAACTACTATTGCTGCTACTGTTACTACAACTACTATTGCTGCTACTGCCACTACAACTACTATTGCTGCTACTGTTACTACAACTACTATTGCTACTGCTGCTACTGCCACTACTACTACTACTACTACTACTACTACTACTGTTACTGTTATCACTACTATTACAACCACTGTAAATATTACTAGTACTACTGCTACTACTGCTACTGCCACTACTACTACTACTACTACTACTACTACTACTACTACTACTACTGCTACTGCTACTGTTACTACTACTATTACAACCACTGTAAACATAACTACTACTACTACTACTAGCTACACTACTGCTACTGCCACTAGTAATACTAATTAAGTACTACTACTACTGCTACTACTACTACTACTACTTATCACTGCTATTACAACCACTGTAAATACTACTAGTACTACTACTACTGCTACTACTACTACTACTACTACTACTACTACTACTACTGTTACTGTTATCACCACTATTACAACCACTGTAAATATTACTAGTACTACTACTACTACTGCTACTGCTGCTACTGCCACTACTACTACTACTACTACTACTGTTACTGTTATCACTACTATTACAACCACTGTAAATATTACTAGTACTACTACTACTACTACTGCTACTGCCATCACTACTATTACAACCACTGTAAATACAGTACCACTGCTACTGCCACTACTACTACTACTACTACTACTACTACTACTACTACTACTACTACTACTACTACTGCTACTACTGCTACTACTACTACTGCTACTGATACTACTACTATTGTTACTGTTATCACTACTATTACAACCACTGTAAATATGACTAGTACTACTGCTACTGCTGCTACTACTACTACTACTACTACTACTACTACTACTACTACTACTACTGCTACTGTTATCACTACTATTACAACCACTGTAAATATTACTAGTACTACTACTACTGCTACTGCTGCTACTGCTACCACTACTACTACTACTACTACTGCTACTACTACTACTACTCCTACTGCTGCTACTGTTATCACTACTATTACAACCACTGTAAATATTACTAGTACTACTGCTACTGCCACTACTACTACTACTACTACTACTACTCCTGCTTCTGTTATCACTACTATTACAACCACTGTAAATATTTCTAGTACTACTGCTACTACTACTACTACTACTGCTACTGCTAATGTTACTGTTATCACTACTATTACAACCACTGTAAATATTACTAGTACTACTGCTACTGCTACTGCTACTGCTACTACTACTACTGCACTACTACTACTACTACTACTACTACTACTACTACTACTACTACTACTACTACTACTACTACTGCTACTACTACTACTACTACTACTACTACTACTACTACTACTACTACTACTGCTACTGCTACTGCTACTACTGCTGCTACTGCCACTACTACTACTACTACTACTACTACTACTACTACTACTACTGTTACTGTTATCACTCCTATTACAACCACTGTAAATATTACTAGTACTACTGCTACTACTGCTACTGCTACTGTTACTGTTATCACTACTATTACCACTTAAACAGCATATACTACTAAAAATACATTTTTACAAGACCACTTCTACCACGACTACTGCTGCTCATACTTCTGCGATTACTACTTCTACAAGCTTAACTGATACTTCTCAGCACACTTACCGTTTCATGTTCATGGGCCAGAGACGCGAGGAAGTCCTGAAACTTGGGTCTGCCGAAGTGAGTGGTGGCTCTCAGCCCCGTGAACAGACTCTGACCAGCGATCCTCTGGAAGTGACGCTCACAGATGTACTGGAAACACAAGTAGCATATTGTTTTATTTAGATGCATAATCTACGCATGTCGTCATCTCTTGCCTTTATGTACTGACCCCACAATAGTCTGAGCATGCTGTAGGTCGGAAAGGGTGGAACGGTTAGTTACGGTGTTTCCCAGGGTTTTTTCTTTACTTATAAACATCGGAATAGCTGTGCTTGGAAACTGTTGTGGTAATGGTGGCTTGTGGCCCTGTGCATAGAGCACAGGTCACAAATCGATTGAAGTTAAACAACGATGGGCGCGGAGAGACCTTGGATGGGTGACCGCGTCTTTGGCAGCTTGACTCCTGAGCGTTTCTAGGACTTCAGTCCTGCCCCACAACGAAGCACATGTGATACATGTGGTCACATCTCAAGCAAATGAGTTTGTTCAAAAGTGCCTCTGTTTACCCGGGTAAATGGATACCCGGTGGGATAAAGTTATGTGATTATAACCTTCTTGAGCCCAACAAGCAGCTTGAGTTAGCCGGGGTAATAGCAATACACATATTGTATGGGCGCTTCGAGCGTGCATGGAGCTTGCGCATGCCAAATGGACTATTATTATTATTATTATTAATTCAACATTTTCTAACCAAATCTTCCAGTTCATTGATCACTTGATTGGCTGATTCGTTTACAGGTCACCGTTGCGTGGCAGGGGTACCACTAGCATAAAGTTAAAAGTACTTCCATTTTTAGGAAGATGTAGTGACATCCTATCAACGTCAGGTGGTGTTCACCTAGTACAGAGGGAGCCAGTGTGTGACATGCCAACATACAGATGTGGTGTTCACCTAGTACAGAGGGAGCCAGTGTGTGACATGCCAACATACAGATGTGGTGTTCACCTAGTACAGAGGGAACCAGTATTTGACATGCCAACATACAGATGTGGTGTTCACCTAGTACAGAGGGGACCAGTATTTGACATGCCAACATACATATGTGGTGTTCACCTAGTACAGAGGGAACCTGTATTTGACATCCCAACATACAGATGTGGTGTTCACCTAGTACAGAGGGAACCAGTATTTTTGACATGCCAACATACAGATGTGGTGTTCACCTAGTACAGAGGGAACCAGTATTTGACATGCCAACATACAGATGTGGTGTTCACCTAGTACAGAGGGAACCCGTATTTGACATGCCAACATACAGATGTGGTGTTCACCTAGTACAGAGGGAACCTGTATTTGACATGCCAACATACAGATGTGGTGTTCACCTAGTACAGAGGGAACCCGTATTTGACATGCCAACATACAGATGTGGTGTTCACCTAGTACAGAGGGAACCCGAATTTGACATGACAACATACAGATGTGGTGTTCACCTAGTACAGAGGGAACCAGTATTTGACATCACATCAATGTCAGGTGGTGTTCACGTATTACAGAGGGAGTCAGTATGTGACATCCCAACATACAGATGTGGTGTTCAGTTAGTCAGTATAGGACACCCTCCAGTGTCCAGGAGGTGTTCACCTACTACAGAGGGAGCCAGTGTGTGACATCCCACCATACAGATGTGGTGTTCAGTTAGTCAGTATAGGACACCCTCCAGTGTCCAGGAGGTGTTCACCTACTACAGAGGGAGCCAGTATGTGACATCCCAACATACAGATGTGGTGTTCAGTTAGTCAGTATATGACACCTACCAGTGTCCAGGAGGTGTTCGCCTACTACAGAGGGAGCCAGTATGTGACATCCCATCATACTGAGGTGGTGTTCAGTTAGTCAGTATATGACACCCTCCAGTGTCCAGGAGGTGTTCACCTACTACAGAGGGAGCCAGTATGTGACATCCCATCCTACTGAGGTGGTGTTCAGTTAGTCAGTATATGACACCCTCCAGTGTCCAGGAGTTGTTCACCTACTACAGAGGGAGCCAGTATGTGACATCCCTTCACACTGAGGTGGTGTTCAGTTAGTCAGTATAGGACACCCTCCAGTGTCCAGGAGGTGTTCACCTACTACAGAGGGAGCCAGTATGTGACATCCCATCCTACTGAGGTGGTGTTCAGTTAGTCAGTATAGGACACCCTCCAGTGTCCAGGAGGTGTTCACCTACTACAGAGGGAGCCAGTATGTGACATCCCAACATACAGATGTGGTGTTCAGTTAGTCAGTATAGGACACCTACCAGTGTCCAGGAGGTGTTCACCTACTACAGAGGGAGCCAGTATGTGACATCCCTTCATACTGAGGTGGTGTTCAGTTAGTCAGTATATGACACCTACCAGTGTCCAGGCGGTGTTCACCTACTACAGAGGGAGCCAGTATGTGACATCCCATCATACTGAGGTGGTGTTCAGTTAGTCAGTATATGACACCTACCAGTGTCCAGGAGGTGTTCACCTAGTTACAGAGGGAGCCAGTATATGACATCCCATCATACTGAGGTGGTGTTCAGTTAGTCAGTATATGACACCTACCAGTGTCCAGGAGGTGTTCGCCTACTACAGAGGGAGCCAGTATGTGACATCCCATCATACTGAGGTGGTGTTCAGTTAGTCAGTATAGGACACCTACCAGTGTCCAGGAGGTGTTCACCTAGTTACAGAGGGAGCCAGTATGTGACATCCCATCATACTGAGGTGGTGTTCAGTTAGTCAGTATATGACACCCTCCAGTGTCCAGGAGGTGTTCACCTACTACAGAGGGAGCCAGTATGTGACATCCCATCATACTGAGGTGGTGTTCAGTTAGTCAGTATATGACACCCTCCAGTGTCCAGGCGGTGTTCACCTACTACAGAGGGAGCCAGTATGTGACATCCCATCATACTGAGGTGGTGTTCAGTTAGTCAGTATATGACACCCTCCAGTGTCCAGGAGGTGTTCACCTAGCTACAGAGGGAGCCAGTATGTGACATCCCATCATACTGAGGTGGTGTTCAGTTAGTCAGTATAGGACACCTACCAGTGTCCAGGAGGTGTTCACCTAGTTACAGAGGGAGCCAGTATGTGACATCCCTTCATACTGTGGTGGTGTTCAGTTAGTCAGTATATGACACCCTCCAGTGTCCAGGAGGTGTTCACCTACTACAGAAGGAGCCAGTTGATGACATACCAACATAGTGGTCCTGAGGTCGAACTTCTGCTGGAACTGTGTGATGAAGATATGTACTGCTACCAGATCGTTCGTGTCAGCGCCTTCTACCTGCCGAATGATGTCTGTCATCCACTCAAAACCCTTCTGTGTTCTCGTCACCCACAGGAAGTACACCTGAAACATCAACAATCATAACCTATAGCGATCATTTCGGCTTTGATGTTACAACTTTGATATATTGGTGACTGCTACAACAAAGATGTGACAACTTGATTACAGGTGTGACTTCTACAACATAGATGTGACAACTTCAATATAGTTATGTCTGCTACAACATAGATGTGACACTTTCAATATAGTTATGTCTGCTACAACGTAGATGTGACACTTTCAATATAGTTATGTGTGCTACAACGTAGATGTGACAACTTCAATATAGTTATGTCTGCTACAACATAGATGTGACAACTTCAATATAGTTATGTCTGCTACAACATAGATGTGACACCTTGATTACAGGTGTGACTTCTACAACATAGTTGTGACAACTTCAGTAGTTAGTTATGTCTGCTACAACATAGATGTGACAACTTCAATATAGTTATGTCTGCTACAACATAGATGTGACAACTTCAATAGAGTTATGTCTGCTACAACATAGATGTGACAACTTCAATATAGTTATGATTGCTACAACATAGATGTGACAGCTTTATTATAGGTCAAGTTCGGCCTGAACCAGTGGTGAAGGTAGTGAAAGGCATACTGACCTTCTGGCAAGGGAATTTGACCTTCATCCTGCTCTTGCTGACAATGTCCTTTAGGATGGAAGCAAACGGCGTGACCCCAATACCACCCCCTACTAACACAGCAACACGGAAACGGTACCAGTCCTGGTGGCCCTCGCCAAACGGACCGTCCACCAATAACTGAAAATGCAAACAATTATATAAACAGCAAAGAACGTGTATATAGCTAAAGATCGCGTCCCTGGTGTAGTGGTTAGAGCGTCCGCTCGGAGAGCGGAAGGTCGCGGGTTCTATCCCCGACCGCGTCATACCAAAAGAGGCTAAAATATGGTACTTGTTGGTCCCTGCCTGGCGCTCGTCATTACTGGGTACATTAAGGACAGCTCGGCTCGGAGTCAGTATGTGTCTGAGTGGGGTATTCATGTTTCACTGCGGCATGGTATCTCAGTGAGCTAGCACTATAAAACCAGCTTCAGTCTGGGCTAGTACAACCAGTCGCACATACACATACACGCATGCACGTCGTCATATGAGCGAAATATTTTCAAGAACGACGTTAAACCCAATTTCACATTACCTCAACTCATATAGCTAACAAAACATACAATAACAAGGTGTATTCTGAGCTAGCCAAAGATATCTTTTACCAACAGCTAAGAGAACAATACGCATGATTATGAAACAGAACCGTCAAGTCCCTCGTCAGAATTTAACATCCTTAACTTTTGTCCTTTATGTTTATCACTGTTGCATGCTATTCAAATACCTATTTTCTGAAGGGACATACATTTCGGTTGCTGATAAACTGCGTGTTTTTCATCAGTCAAACAGTCAGCCAGGACCCCAAATACTGTTGTGACTGACTGACTGACTGAGTTTGGTTTTACGCCGCTTTTAGCAACATACTAGGCTACCCCACCTCCCCAAATACAGTTGTGAACACGCAACAATTATTGTCTGAAAACTTTCCTTGAATGATTTAAGAATATGTTACCTTTGGCAAGGTGGAAGAGTTGTTGGGGTCGTATACCCTCCTGATGTTGTTTGTCCAGGGTCCAACTGCCCGGATGTGCAGTGACAGCGTCTCCTCGTGAGGAGCTGATGTGAGAGTGAAGGGGTGATACTCACTCTTCCCGAGGTCCAGACAGGCGATACGGACCCACTGCCCAGATTTGTAGTCAAAGTTCAGGGGACGTTTAAAAACAAGATTAGTCACACCTACAAAACGAAGCAAAAACCGTCTTAATGTCCGAAAACCTCCATAGAAGGTTTTACTGTGCTAACGTAAATGTGTTTTGGTAGAACTGGTCACGACAGCTTTATTGCACCCATGACATCTCATTCAAATCCTATGTTAATTATTTTTAGCCCTAAAACAGTATCTGAGGAAACCCCATTGCGACCAGGCGAGTCGCTTACAAATCGTTTTCTAAACATACACCTTCGAAGAGCTTCAAACTGTGTATTCAGGAAGATCGATATGGATTGTGCAGCTGATTCCGCCAAGACCATCTTCTATGTCGCTTCACCAGGAAAAAAAATATTTCAGGAAGAAGATAATTCCCTTAATAAGTTGGCAGTATTGCAAAACCTTTCCGAGGCGTCCATTAGAAATTCGCAAATTTTCTTTTGTGTAGTTTTCATACCTTGAATCGATATTTTTCAAAGAGGAGTCTCGAATGTGAGTCATACGTTTGAGGACGCTGCTTCTGAGCTCATATGAATCATTCATTAGTCGGTCAAAATTTCATCCTTGTTTAGCGTTAAGAGAGGACTAAGATGTAGTTTCAAGAGACAGAGCGATATCAATACGAAAATGACAAAGGGGTTGGTATTGATAGGGTTCATGGGGGCGGTGGGGTAGCCTAGTGGTTAAAGTGGTCGCTCGTCACGCCGAAGGCCCGGGTTCGATTCCCCACATGGGTACAGTGTGTGAAGCCCATTTCTGGTGTCCCCCACCGTGATATTGCTGGAATATTGCTAAAAGCGGCTTAAGACTCAACTCACTTACTCACTGATACGGTTCATGAGATGTTTTATCAAGAGATTACTGTTCACGGTGCAGCTGGAATAAATGCGCTTCCAGTCCCTAACTCCCACAAGGCTGCTACAGCTTACCTGATGGAAGTATCTCCGCCTTGGTGACGGGTATCTCCACTCGGTTTCTACTGAGACTGACTAGCTTGTCAATGATGAAAATGACGACCGGCCCGATGAAGAACCAGCCCCAGATTGGGTCCTGTACCAGTCGCCCCGCTCCGTGCATGGTGAGGAAGATGTACAGTAAGATGTAGAAGCTGTGCGTGAACCAGAAGGCGTTGAAAAGATGGCGTCGGGCGTACTCGGTGGCGAACACGAACATGATGATGACGATTAAAGTGAGAATGACTCCAGTCAAACCTGGGAGACAAGACAGACAAATGAGACCTCCGGTAGAAAGGTATAACAGCAAGATGGAAATGTTTTAGATTGAAATGTAAATTGAGATTGTCCGTATCAATAAATATATATCAATAATTTACGAGTGTTTCCGACTAAAATAGACCGACTAAAGCATGTTATTTCCAATCGGAGATGAAAATGTCCATACCCGTAATCGTTGTAAAGGCCCAGTAATGGAAGGATGCCAGTACATGGGTTCTGTAACGGAAAATACTCAAAGATAAATAGACACAAATGACATGGTTTAATGCTGGCAACATACAGCAGCTACACACACATGCTCTCCGGCCACTAAGACGATATAGACGGTCAGTTGTCGGAGAACTACTGACTAACTCGATGATCATGGGTGTTTACACCGAAGACCTTTCACTCGGCTTCTGCTCGCCAGATAGTATTATGTTCATTGGAGTGTTTCACCTAGGCCTGTGTACTCACGCTCTGAAGTATTCCCGGAAGTAACAGTTCAAGTCAGAGGAAGCTTGCGTGGAGATGTGGTAGAGGTTGATGGCGTGGCCCACCACGTGCATGACTGCAGCAGAAAAACAAAGCACGTTCAACACGGGAAGCCGACATTCAGCGACATGTTACATATTGGTCATTTATACAACAAACTGTGGTAAGCTTAACTGTTTGAATCTAGAATTTTCTCCAGAATCGTCTCTAGAATCGTCTCTAGAATTGTCTCTGGAACTGTCTTTAGAATTGTCTCTGGAACTGTCTCGAGAATTGTCTCTGGAACTGTCTCGAGAACTGTCTCTGGAATGGTCTACTATCCCTGCACATATGCAGCCACGTGTGTCGAGACACAGAGATCGGGGAAATAGTGTGTAACTATAGGCATTCGTACAGGTTCATGCACTTTTCACCAAATGCTATTACATATACTGTTGTCGGAGAAAAAAGGCCTTTTCCCATGTTCATATGTTTCAAGTTTGGAAATTCTACCTGGCGGATAAACCCGTTTCCTACATGCATACGTTCATGTGTTTCCACTAGATACTTCGTAAACAATGAGACAATACACACACTCCCTGACACCAGACAACAGAGAGCAAGACACGCACCTGTGGACACGAGGGCGATGCCGGCGACGTATTTGTGGAAGGCATGGAATGAATCGAAAGGAATGAACCGATGGAGGAACGTCTCCCTGAAGAAGGTGAGAGTGTTGCGACTCATGGTGACCAGCAGAAAGGCGTAGGTGAACATCTGGGTGGAGGCGGCTCCCCGAGTCACGGACACCCCGTACCCAGCCAGTCGGCGGAGGCCTGCATGTTCTCGGTTCACAGAGTAAACTGTACAAACACAAAGGCAGCGTCATGAAGACAGCATGGCACCAGTGACAGGAAGCCTCATGGTGTTGGTTACACATATATTCAATTACGTACAGTACTGGCCACATGTTTAGAATGATTGTCACTGATGGGAAGAACTAGTCAACAAGGTAACTATATAATGAGCAGCTCCCATGTGCATGATGCAAGGCACCTTAATACAGTGCATGTGATCCCAGAGCTTACCTGTAGTACTAGCCCCCTGTTTGTATGTGTAGTAATGCTGTCGTAATAGTCACCTTATGATTGATCTCGTTACATGGTTTGCACTAGTGTGCGTTGTGCAGTAGTAAGGTGGGAGTGGCACGTGCCACCAATACTCAGAACTAGCGTTCCGTGTGTTGAACTAAAACACATGTGTACTGTTCTTCATATCTGTATAATACAGTACTAGCCATATATGTATAGTATCCTATGCGTTTTGTTTAGAGGTGGTGATAAAGAGAAATTGGTTGTGCGTTCAAAAGATGTCCGTCTTTGAAAAGTTTGTTAACGCTTATGCCTCGTATCCAAACTGAAAGATCACGTTCTCCTACTTTTGGGAAGATTATATAGGATTTTGTCTAAATACAGCATTAATGTTGAGGTAATGTAAGTGTCAGACCGGAAGTTAAATTTGCTTGAGAATAATGAACTCACAGTAGGCACGCTCTACGAAGATTCCAATATTGACGAGTGTGAACAGCGACCCCCAGAATATTTGCAGTCTGTAGTTTTCAACGTAACGTGTGAACTCATACATCTTCTGGGCGAAGGGCGTCATCGGGGGCTGCGTCTTCAGGGTGCCCACCCGGATGTTAGTCTGGCGGTTCTTGGCTTTGCGGTTTATGGAATGAGATCTGTGAACAACGTCGATAAAACAACATGGACAACGATACTCTTTCAATACTGTTGACTGCTTGTTAAACGACTGTATTAATCTTTATTTCTGTTTACCAAAACCTGTTAAGAGCTATTGCTGAGGGACGAGAACGAATTCGTTATGTGTATGTGTTTGCTAGACCTGGTTGAAGCGAATAGTGAGACTGGAGCAATAGAGTGAGACTGGAGCAATAGAGTTTATCGTGACGTTCACTGACATCACTAGAGTGGGTGAGTTTAGTTTTACGCCGCATTCTGCAATATTCCAGCTATATGGCGGCGGTCTGTAAATAATCAAGTCTGGACCAGATAATCCAGTGATCAACAACATGAGCATCGATCTACGCAATTGGGATACGATGACATGTGTCAACCAATTCAGCGAGCCTGACCACTCGATCCCGTTAGTCGCCTCTTACAACAAGCATGGGTTACTGAACCTCAATTCTAACCCAGATCTTCACGGGTGACATCACTAGATGCCTCAGAAGGAGGATCACATGCAAAGCAGGGAATATGCTTTCATGACTAAACCTATTCTACAAGGACCAAACAGCCAGGATAACCAGTGCTAGGCTAGGGGATCCTGGTAACCAAGTGACACAATCCAACCCTCGGGCCTTTGACCGTATACCGCCATAGAGAGGGAACCAAGTACCTGAAGTTTCCTACGACAGTCTTCCTTCTGTCTGCAATGCTGCTTCCATGTACCTTGGCCACCTGCTCGTCAATCTGCCCTCCGTCCACTACAACAAAGTGAAGACGAACATGTACATATAATATTTGCATCAATGACAAGGATTTCTAAAGCTATCACGAAAAGACGTGTTGTTTCGTATATTTTACGAAAGACAAGACGACCACAAAATTTGAGATGATTTCGATGTGAATGATTTTTTGGCCAGTGGATTAAAAGACCTCGTGTTTAATTAACTACTGTGATGTAATCAGCGAGATGTTATATGGATTCAAGTCCAATGCAAATATAGTCTTCAACACTTGTTTTAAGAATATGAATAACAGTACCGTCAAGCCCCAGTGTTGCTTTCTTGAGGATATCACCATGTTCTTCGGAAGCAAAAATCTTTTTGAAATCCTCAAACGTCATGTTCTCCTTCCCCTTGATGCCCGCCTGTTCAAACATGGTCTCCAGCAGCTGGTTCACCTTCATGTCCTCCACACTGGCGTCCGCAAGATCCATCATAGACCTTGAACAGGATCCCAATGTAGATGATGGCACCAGTACACGTCAACTTGTCTGGCCTACTGTTGGTTAACACTACTCACATGCCACCAGTACACCGACAACTTGTCTGGCCTACTGTCGGTCAACACTACTCACTTGGCACCAGTACACCGCCAACTTGCCTGGCCTACTGTCGGTCAACACTACTCACATGCCACCATGTCAATAGTACACCGACAACTTGTCTGGCCTACTGTCGGTCAACACTACTCACTTGGCACCAGTACACCGCCAACTTGTCTGGCCTACTGTCGGTCAACACTACTCACATGCCACCAGTACACCGCCAACTTGTCTGGCCTACTGTCGGTCAACACTACTCACATGCCACCAGTACACTGCCAACTTGTCTGGCCTACTGTCGGTCAACACTACTCACATGCCACCAGTACACCGCCAACTTGTCTGGCCTACTGTCGGTCAACACTACTCACATGCCACCAGTACACTGCCAACTTGTCTGGCCTACTGTCGGTCAACACTACTCACATGCCACCAGTACACTGCCAACTTCTCTGGCCTACTGTCGGTCAACACTACTCACATGCCACCAGTACACCGCCAACTTGTCTGGCCTACTGTCGGTCAACACTACTCACTTGGCACCAGTACACCGCCAACTTGTCTGGCCTACTGTCGGTCAACACTACTCACATGGCACCAGTACACCGACAACTTCTCTGGCCTACTATCGGTCAACACTACTCACATGGCACCAGTAGACCGACAACTTATCTGGCCTACTGTCGGTCAACACTACTCACATGGCACCAGTACACCGACAACTTGTCTGGCCTACTGTCGGTCAACACTACTCACATGGCACCAGTACACTGCCAACTTGTCTGGCCTACTGTCGGTCAACACTACTCACATGGCACCAGTACACCGACAACTTCTCTGGCCTACTATCGGTCAACACTACTCACATGGCACCAGTAGACCGACAACTTATCTGGCCTACTGTCGGTCAACACTACTCACTTGGCACCAGTACACCGCCAACTTGTCTGGCCTACTGTCGGTCAACACTACTCACATGGCACCAGTACACCGACAACTTCTCTGGCCTACTATCGGTCAACACTACTCACATGGCACCAGTAGACCGACAACTTATCTGGCCTACTGTCGGTCAACACTACTCACATGGCACCAGTACACCGCCAACTTGTCTGGGCTACTGTCGGTCAACACTACTCACATGGCACCAGTACACTGCCAACTTGTCTGGCCTACTGTCCGTCAGCACTACTCACATGCCACCAGTACACTGCCAACTTGTCTGGCCTACTGTCGATCAACACTACTCACATGGCACCGTGACAGACGTACCTCTGTGCATCGTGGGGCTAATACATTTACATTTATACGGTAATTGTTGCGATCGAGAGGTGCTACTGTGAGAACATGACATGCTTATCTTTATCACGATCACCACTGTTCAGTGATCCATACATATAACTTTACCCCAGTTTGAGTGTTACACACAGTTGAATCTGTGTTGACGTACTATCTATATTGCTTATTATCTGGAGTTAAAGTTTTACATACATTTCAGCTAATATCTACATTACTAAAACGAAGGCAAGAACCACCCTATTCTTTTGAATTAATACAGTTTACATGTGATACAATGAAAGCAAAATGGTGTCATCTAAAGGGTCGCGTAACACAACACATTTCAAGAGGTATATTACGTGTTTTTCATTACACATGCGTTTTACAATACATACACCGCGAACTACTTACTTCAACATTTTTGCGAACTGGTTTCTGGAGAGCTTTCCGGTTTTCTTGAGATCATACATATTGAACAACATCTGAGCTTTGTCTTCAGCGTTCCCTGTGAAGGGAGATAACTCTTTATTGAACAGCCTTGCAAAATCAAATCGTAAATGTGTATATAGAAACAAGAAGAGTAACCATGATTCAAATATTGACAATATGAAGTTTCTTAAGTGACAACCGGAACAATCTGAAGCATGGATACAATCTACGCTGTCTCATTTGAAGAAATATGGATATCCAATCAACGCAGTCTCATTTATGTTTTGAAGAAATATTAACATCGCAAACTTGATCCCATCCTAAGACACAGTTACGTAAAACCCAACTCATTACAGTCTTACCTGAAGCGAGGGTGACAAACATTGTCATAAATTCCTCGAAAGATACAAAGCCGTCTCTGGATCGGTCCACTAAGAGGAACATGTTTCTCACAAACATGGAGTTGGGTTGGAGTCCCAGCGCTTCTGCAAACTCAGTCCTCGTCAGCTTGACATTGCGGATGTCGTTGATGTCCTTGGCGTCAAGCGACTCCAGGTTCATGTCGCGAGCATTCTTCCTGAAGGCCTGAAGACAATCAGCATTGAAAAAAATATAACATTTGTCCCGATTTAGAAATCTTGTCTAAATGAGGAAACAAAACAGCTAGAGTCCCAAATAAAGGTTGAGATGATATAGAACACGACCTGAAAGGGGAGGTAACGACGCACGCACCGCAGTAAGGTTTAACTGAGCAACCAAGTATCCGTGACTAGCTGAACCTACTGCACTTGGAGGTACTATATCTCAATGGTTACTGTCCAAGTATCCGTTACTAGCTGAACCTACTGCACTTGGAGGTACTATATCTCAATGGTTACTGTCCAAGTATCCGTTACTAGCTGAACCTACTGCACTTGGAGGTACTATATCTCAATGGTTACTGTCCAAGTATCCTTGCTAGCTGAACCTACTGCACTTGGAGGTACTATATCTCAATGGTTACTGTCCAAGTATCCTTGCTAGCTGAACCTACTGCACTTGGAGGTACTATATCTCAATGGTTACTGTCCAAGTATCCGTTACTAGCTGAACCTACTGCACTTGGAGGTACTATATCTCAATGGTTACTGTCCAAGTATCCGTGACTAGCTGAACCTACTGCACTTGGAGGTACTATATCTCAATGGTTACTGTCCAAAGTACCCTGTCCAGATAAACTTACTGCTTATAGGGGTATCATATATAAGTGGTTACTCTACAAGAATCATTGCCAGATAAACTTACTGCCCTTGGGGGTACTATATCTTTTTATATCTGAGCGTAACGTTACCTGGAGACAGACCACCCTGAAGAACTTGTCCAACATCACTTTTCTGTCTTCGTAAGTCTCTGCATCCCTCTTGATGGTTATCTCGTTGAACTCGTGCTTCTCGCGGTTGATGCTGATGCTTTGAAAGAAGGCTTCGACGTTGCCCAACACCTTCTGTCTCTCTCCCATGCTGGTAAATCTCAACACCTGGACAACAGGGCCAACAAAACATCTTCTTTTTGCTCAGACAAGAAATAACATACATCGACGTGAGCCCAAGTACAAAAAATTTAATGGATACTCTTGATAAGAACACCACTGGTGTTGTCGCTATTAGAACGACATGAAAAACGCCAAGGATACATTACCGTGTAACTAAACGTCATACAGAAAGAAGCGTGGTTCTATCGATAATATCTGCACATCTCAACTCTCACCAGATCAATTTCTCCAGGAACCCTGATGGACATGACGTCCAGGTTTTTGTCATCGGACAACCGGACGTGGACCGGCTTCTTAGTGTAGCGCAAGTCTATGAGTCTAAGCGTCTTCCCGGTCTTGTCTGTTACGTCAACCTTCTTCCGATCCCGGTTAAGATAGACCTTGATGTTCCTCTCTCCCGCCTTAGGTCCGACCCACTCCACGGCTGTGTAACAGAGATTAGAGGTGGCATTCCAGCAGTGTACAGATTAGGATGTGGAGGGTTTAGTAACATGGCAGGTGTGGACAGCAGGAGAGCGGTTTTAGTAATATGATAGGTATGGACTGCAGGAGGCAGGTTATGTTAACATGACAGGCATTGAGTGCAAGAGAGAAATTTTAGTAATATGACAGGCATTGAGTGCAGGAGAGAAATTTTAGTAATATGACAGGCATTGGCTGCAGGAGAGAGATTTTAGTAATAGGGCAGGTATTGGCTGCAGGAGAGAGATTTTAGTAATAGGGCAGGTATTGGCTGCAGGAGAGAGTGGTTAGTAATATGGTAGGTATTGGCTGCAGGAGACAAGTTTTGTTAGTATGACAGGTATTGGCCCCAGGAGAGAGCTATTAGTAATATGGCAAGTATTGACTGCAGGAGAGAGGTTTTAGTAATATGGCAAGTATTGACTGCAGGAGAGAGGTTTTAGTAGTATGACAAGTATTGACTGCAGGAGAGATATCTTACTTTTTCACAGCAATCCTTGAACAAAGAGAAATCCGAACTAAGTGCCATTTTGGGTCTTATCCGGGCCATGGTAGGTACATTGCTGATGACTTCGTTGTTCGGAATTAGAGTCACGTTAGTCCCTATGGATATACTTCCTAATCATCAAAGTAACTGAAAACTATACAATACCTGAAAATTTATTGGGATCAGATTCTCCTGTTTCCGGTGTTCGTCTCTTGGCGGCGGCAATACTCCTCTCCCTCTGCTTGGCCATCAGGACGAGGACACCGATTGTCACTGAAACAAGCACACAACTCGTTAGTGTGATGTTTAGTTGATACGCGTCACAGTTACCGAAACTTGTTGGTGTGATGTTTAGTTGATACGCGTCACAGTTACCGAAACAAGCACACAACTCGTTAATGTGATGTTTAGTTGATACGCGTCACAGTTACCGAAACTTGTTGGTGTGATGTTTAGTTGATACGCGTCACAGTTACCGAAACAAGCACACAACTCGTTAATGTGATGTTTAGTTGATACGCGTCACAGTTACCGAAACTTGTTGGTGTGATGTTTAGTTGATACGCGTCACAGTTACCGAAACAAGCACACAACTCGTTAGTGTGATGTTTAGTTGATACGCGTCACAGTTACCGAATCAAGCACACACCTCGTAAGTGTGATGTTTAGTTGATACGCGTCACAGTTACCGAATCAAGCACACACCTTGTTAGTGTGATGTTTAGTTGATACGCGTCACAGTTACCGAAACTTGTTGGTGTGATGTTTAGTTGATACGCGTCACAGTCACCGAAACAAGCACACACCACGTTAGTGTGATGTTTAGTTGATACGCGTCACAGTTACCGAAAGAAGCACACACCAGATTAGTGTGATGTTTAGTTGATACGCGTCACAGTTACCGAAACTTGTTGGTGTGATGTTTAGTTGATTCGCGTCACAGTCACCGAAATAGGAAACACCAAGTTAGTGTGATGTTTAGTTGATACGCGTCACAGTTACCGAAACTTGTTGGTGTGATGTTTAGTTGATACGCGTCGCACAGTTACCGAAACAAGCACACACCACGTTAGCACACATACCACGTTAGTGTTGGTGTGATTTTAGTTGATACGCGTCACAGTTACCGAAACCACACCACGTTAGTGTGATGTTTAGTTGATATGCGTCATATTTAGTTGATACGCGTCACAGTTACCGAAACTTGTTGGTGTGATGTTTAGTTGATACGCGTCACAGTTACCGAAAGAAGCACACACCACGTTAGTGTGATGTTTAGTTGATACGCGTCACAGTTACCGAAACTTGTTGGTGTGATGTTTAGTTGATACGCGTCACAGTTACCGAAAGAAGCACACACCACGTTAGTGTGATGTTTAGTTGATACGCGTCACAGTTACCGAAACTTGTTGGTGTGATGTTTAGTTGATACGCGTCACAGTTACCGAAGAAGCACACACCGTTAGTGTGTGATGTTTAGTTGATACGCGTCATTAAATGTTTAGTGTGATGTTTAGTTGATACGCGTCACAGTTACCGAAACTTGTTGGTGTGATGTTTGTTTAGTTGATACGCGTCACAGTTACCGAAGAAGCACACACCACCTCGTTAGTGTGATGTTTAGTTGATACGCGTCACAGTTACCGAAACTTGTTGGTGTGATTAGTTGATAGTTGATACGCGTCACAGTTACCGAAACAGAAGAATGTTTAGTTACGCACCGCGTCACAGTTACCGAAAGAAGCACACACCACGTTAGTGTGATGTTTAGTTGATACGCGTCACAGTTACCGAAACTTGTTGGTGTGATGTTTAGTTGATACGCGTCACAGTTACCGAAAGAAGCACACACCACGTTAGTGTGATGTTTAGTTGATACGCGTCACAGTTACCGAAACAAGCACACACCACGTTAGTGTGATGTTTAGTTGATACGTGTCACAGTTACCGAAAGAAGAACACACCTCGTTAGTGTGATATTTAGTTGATATGCGTCACAGTTACCGAAACAAGCACACACCACGTTAGTGTGATGTTTAGTTGATACGCGTCACAGTTACCGAAACTTGTTGGTGTGATGTTTAGTTGATACGCGTCACAGTTACCGAAAGAAGCACACACCACGTTAGTGTGATGTTTAGTTGATACGCGTCACAGTTACCGAAACAAGCACACACCACGTTAGTGTGATGTTTAGTTGATACGCGTCACAGTTACCGAAAGAAGCACACACCACGTTAGTGTGATGTTTAGTTGATACGCGTCACAGTTACCGAAACAAGCACACACCACGTTAGTGTGATGTTTAGTTGATACGCGTCACAGTTACCGAAAGAAGCACACACCACGTTAGTGTGATGTTTAGTTGATACGCGTCACAGTTACCGAAAGAAGCACACACCACGTTAGTGTGATGTTTAGTTGATACGCGTCACAGTTACCGAAAGAAGAACACACCACGTTAGTGTGATGTTTAGTTGATACGCGTCACAGTTACCGAAACAAGCACACACCACGTTAGTGTGATGTTTAGTTGATACGCGTCACAGTTACCGAAACAAGCACACACCACGTTAGTGTGATGTTTAGTTGATACGCGTCACAGTTACCGAAAGAAGCACACACCACGTTAGTGTGATGTTTAGTTGATACGCGTCACAGTTACCGAAAGAAGCACACACCACGTTAGTGTGAAGTGAACCTGAGGATACCCTACTACTGCACCCGACTGCATTACCCGGAATGAGGTCCACATACTTGCCATATGTTTCATGAATCTTGTCAAACACGTCACGATGACAGACGGGACAGAAAATACCATACAATGTATGAGGTCGCTGGATTTACAAAAAATCCCGGACATAACTGAGCCTACATATGGGCGTTTTTAAACAAATTCATAATTATCATTTCAGTGACGCTTACAACATATTTCGGGTTGTACAATGCATTTCAAGTGACCTCTAAGTAAAAATCACAAGCACGGTGTTTTACTGTTATTATCGTCATAACGAGTGTATGTCCCACGAGCTTGTATAGCAAGTAAGATGTAGCTAGTTTCCACGTGGCTGATGTTTTATACATTGTACGCTGCCCCCAGAAGAGTATGCATCGTCATCAACTTCTCTAAAAGTCTTCCTATAGTAAGAGTCATTATACAAGGATGGCCGAGAAGGTAACGATTACTACTTACGTGGAATAAACAGTCCCACAGCGACAAATGTGAGAGCAAAGGACACTTGGCTGCTCTCGAAATAATCAAATGTCTGCAGGTTGGAACACTCATCAAAGGTATTTCCCGTGGTTCCAAATTCAGCCATACTCGGCGGATTTAGGCACCTTGCATCCACTCGGACCGTTGTCATCTGTAAAACGACATGGTCAGTAGGACATCATTTATATGGTGTTACAGTTAGGGTAGACGTTCCCCCTGCTGCACGTATACATCCATCAATGAAGGTAGAGGAACACTTTGTGTTCGTTATAAAGATAACGCTATTACAATTATATACTACATGGACTGACGGTAGAGGAACTAATTGTGTTCGTTATAAGGATAACGCTAGATTGCAATTGTATACTACACGGACTATAGAGGATAACGCTTTAGATAACGCTATTACAATTATATACTACACGGACTGACGGTAGAGGAACTAATTGTGTTCGTTATAAGGATAACGCTAGATTACAATTATATACTACACGGACTGACGGTAGAGGAACTAATTGTGTTCGTTATAAGAATAAAGCTATTACAATTATATACTACACGGACTGACGGTAGAGGAACACTTGGTGTTCGTTATATAGTTTACTGTACCCAGGATTGCACACTGTGTGTAAAAACTGAAACATTGTGTTAAATATAACTATACTGTAAGCGTTAATGTATGCTACATGAACCCACCACATATAAACACGTCTTCCGGTAGGTTATTGAGCGGTATTCCCGTTGTCCAGCTTATGATATCTCTCATAGTAGTATTATTTATATCGGTAACTTCTTCATCCGTGAATAAGCTGAAAGAAAACCATGGGAAGTTTTTAGCGTTTAGATCTGTAGTCCAACCATGTACACCGATGTGTACACCGATGCGTACACCGAAGTTTTATTTGGGATTACACTTTCTCAGTAAAGTACAGATTCTATTACTTTTGTTGGGTTGAGTCCCATACGGGATTCGAACCCCCGTTCTCAGAGTCAGGCACATTGCAATGATTGGTCATAGCCCTTTAATCACATCATTCCGAGGGAGTTTCGCCTTCTCTAACCAAAATACAGGACTACAGACTTTTGGCACACGTGTAATTCGGGTCCAGCCGGCTCTTTTCGTAACCTCCGTTATTAACTCCTTAACGAACGATTACTAAGCATAAAACATTTCCATGGGTATCGTGACTACCAACATGGCTAAACATTCTTGCCGACATACACACATTAAAGTGGAATTAATATACATATAAAAATAAGTGTCATTTAACAAGTTAACGGTGATGAAAACATGAGACAAATCCCCTAAACTCTGACGTCATAACTACGGTGAAGACATGAAACATTACGTCAGTAATAACGTTCTATACCAATAAGTGGTGTTCCATTACGTCAAATTGATATGGAGAGTGTGGCATCAATAATAAGCGGGTGGTTCATCCCCAAGAAATCTTGTTGATTAAGGCCACTTACCAGTTCTTTTTATTCTCGAACCAAAACCTGTCCGCTGTCCTGATTCTCAGGAACTGGTCCAGCATGATGGCTTTAAACAGGGGTCCAGGACCATCAAACGTTGTCTCCAGCAAGCCGCCAGTAAATATGTCCAGCTCGTCCGGTCGGGAGGAATTATACAGTGTGGCCAACTTTTGAAATATCTGCATGGATCAAAGGCTTAATGAATGAATGGAATTTCCTTTCGTTTCGAGAAAAAGTGTCATGGGAATAACAACTGACTTTCTGCACAGAATGAAAACAGTGATACACAGAGGGGAGTATGTCGTCCAAGTTTTATTATAATACATGTTCATCTGGTACTTATCATACATACCTGTCAAAAACAAAGAATAAACTCGGAAGTTAAAGAACACTTCAAAGTTGGTCCGAGATCCAGATATTTTTTCAAAAATCTTCTAGTGAAAACTCAGCGTGATAGTGTAGAGAATTCTGAATAGAAACGTCACCAAATATTCTTACTGGTCGTAGTTCATCTATGTTGCAATCGGTGCAATTGTTTATTTCTTCCCACGTGTTGCGGGCTGTCAGGTTGTAGGCTTCCCGGATCTTGTTGTAGCCTGGGAGGCCATGATCTCGGCCCCGCTGTATGTTGAGGGCAGCAAGGTCTCGCCGGGAGAAGTCGAGGGGGCCGAACAGATCACCTTGGGTGCGACAGAGATTCTTTACAACCAGGTACAAATATTTATCTCCAACCTAAGTTTCAGACAAATACCGATAGTCACCCTCTTCTCAGTGTCAAATAGATAGTGAAAATATGGTCACATATCTCAGTGTCAGGTAAATACAGGGGGTCATCTGCCTCAGTTTTAGGTAAATACGGGGTGTAATCTACCTCAATGTCAGGTAAAAAGAGATGTTCAAATATCTTAGTGTCAGGTAAATAGAGATGTTCAAATATCTTAGTATCAGGTAAATAGAAATGTTCAAATATCTTAGTGTCAGGTAAATAGAGATGTTCAGCTATCTTAGTGTCAGGTAAATACAGATGTTCAGCTACCCTATTGTCAGGTAAATACAGATGTTCAAATATCTTAGTGTCAGGTAAATACAGATGTTCAAATATCTTAGTGTCAGGTAAATAGAGATGTTCAAATATCTTAGTGTCAGGTAAATAGAGATGTTCAGCTATCTTAGTGTCAGGTAAATACAGATGTTCAGCTACCCTATTGTCAGGTAAATACAGATGTTCAAATATCTTAGTGTCAGGTAAATGGAGATGTTTAAATAACTTAGTGTCAGGTAAATAGATATGTTCAAATATCTTAGTGTCAGGTAAATAGAGATGTTCAGCTATCTTAGTGTCAGGTAAATACAGATGTTCAGCTACCCTATTGTCAGGTAAATAGAGATGTTCAAATATCTTAGTGTCAGGTAAATGGAGATGTTTAAATATCTTAGTGTCAGGTAAATAGAGATGTTCAAATAACTTAGTGTCAGGTAAATAGAGATGTTCAAATATCTTAGTGTCAGGTAAATACAGATGTTCAGCTACCCTAGTGTCAGGTAAATAGGGATGTTCAAATAACGTAGTGTCAGGTAAATAGAGATGTTCAAATATCTTAGTGTCAGGTAAATGGAGATGTTTAAATATCTTAGTGTCAGGTAAATAGAGATGTTCAAATAACTTAGTGTCAGGTAAATAGAGATGTTCAAATATCTTAGTGTCAGGTAAATACAGATGTTCAGCTACCCTAGTGTCAGGTAAATAGAGATGTTCAAATATCGTAGTGTCAGGTAAATGGAGATGTTCAAATATCTTAGTGTCAGGTAAATACAGATGTTCAGCTACCCTATTGTCAGGTAAATAGAGATGTTCAAATATCTTAGTGTCAGGTAAATGGAGATGTTCAAATATCTTAGTGTCAGGTAAATACAGATGTTCAGCTATCTAAGTGTCAGGTAAATAGAGATGTTCAAATATCTTGTGTCAGGTAAATAGAGATGTTCAGCTATCTTAGTGTCAGGTAAATAAAGATGTTCAGCTACCCTAGTGTCAGGTAAATAGAGATGTTAAAATATCTTAGTGTCAGGTAGGTGCTGATGCTTTTCTACCGATTTGTCAAGTAAGTATCATCGTTGACCAACCTCTGAGGTCTGGCACCATGATGTGGTCTTCCCGCTCGGCCAAAGTGTACACCATACCGCGCATAATCTCCGACATGTTCAGACTATTCTCCTCTGTTAAGATTTCCTGAAGAAAAACAAAAAACAGGCTTAAGGTCATTTTCATATTTGTTTTGTTTTTATCTTATGGTGAATCAATGAACCAGTGTGCTTCTCAGATTCACCTTGAATACGATGCTGATTCAGCATTACATCCTGTACGGTGTTTTCACCAAGACATCCTGTTCTTCGAGCATTCCGCCCAAAGCTGACGCGCAGTGACATATATGAATTTATGTTCAAGGCGTCGTAATCCACAACTCAAGTTCCAAAGTACCATCGAGTATATAATGCCTTGATGACCTGTTGGTTGACGTGGAGGAGCATAAATGAATATTCTTCAGTGACCTATGCTTGTGTTAGGAGACGGCAAAAGGGAGCGGTTGCTCATAAGTTCGTGTTCTAGTTGCAAAGTTGGAATTCATCATAACAAACAAATAAACAAACAAACAAGATCCAGTACACCTGCAGTGTACACCCTCCTTCACCTTGGAATTCTAAACTAGTTGACTGCAGTGTGGACTGCTATATTGCTGTAAACACCTCCTTCAGTTTGCACTGTGGAACTAAACTAGAACAAATCACACTGACAGGTTACACCTACATGCCATGCTGGATCTCTGGCACCTCACCTTCAGTACACCTGCACCATGTATCTATACTGACACAGGTCTGACACCTGACCTTCAGTACACCTGCACCATGTATCTATACTGACACATATCTGACAACTGACTTTCAGTACACCTGCACCATGTATCTATACTGACACATATCTGACACCTGACACCTGACTTCAGTACACCTGCACCATGTATCTATACTGACTACTGACACAGGTCTGACACAGATCTGACCTTCAGTACACCTGCACCATGTATCTATACTGACACATATCTGACACACTGACCTTCAGTACACCTGCACCATGTATCTATACTGACACAGATCTGACACCTGACCTTCAGTACACCTGCACCATGTATCTATACTGACACATATCTGACAACTGACCTTCAGTACACCTGCACCATGTATCTATACTGACACAGATCTGACACCTGACCTTCAGTACACCTGCACCATGTATCTATACTGGCACAGGTATCTGACACCTGACCTTCAGTACACCTGCACCATGTAACTATATTCGAACAGCTCTGACAACTTACTTGTGACCTCCAGTACGCCTGACACAGTCGGATGCCTTTGGCCCTGTGTCCGTCAGCAGTGGTCACGGCCGTCATTCTCTCCTCACATCTACCTTGTTGCGGCACGTTCCTTATAAAAACAACAAAGGAACATTTATCCTCTCAATATCTCTACACGATCTAATCTAAAAACATTCCTCCTAGCCACAAACCATTCAGTGGCAGTACTCGATATGTCATTGTAGATTGATATTATTAAAGAAGAACATGTCTTTTATGAAGAAAGGATTACTACAAATTACCAGAAAATGATGTATTTTGGGTGTATGTGTCACTTGACTGAAAAACTACTTCTATTTATTTCAGCATATGTTGTAATGTTTTTGAGAGATGAACTTCCGTGAACGATGGACAATACCCTTTGTCATTATGTGTGCTCGACATTTCCTTGGCTTACAAACAATGTGGTTTCGTGTGATGATGATGCACCATGGCTTACAAACAATGTGATTTTGTGTGATGATGATATGCCTTGGTTTACCAACAATGTGGTTTTGTGTGATGATGATGTGCCTTGGTTTACCAACAATGTGGTTTTGTGTGATGATGATGTGCCTTGGTTTACCAACAATGTGATTTTGTGTGATGATGATGTGCCTTGGTTTACCAACAATGTGGTTTTGTGTGATGATGATGTGCCTTGGTTTACCAACAATGTGGTTTTGTGTGATGATGATGTGCCTTGGTTTACCAACAATGTGGTTTTGTGTGATGATGATGTGCCTTGGTTTACCAACAATGTGGTTTTGTGTGTGATGATGATGATGTGCCTTGGTTTACCAACAATGTGGTTTTGTGTGATGATGATGTGCCTTGGTTTACCAACAATGTGGTTTTGTGTGATGATGATGTGCCTTGGTTTACCAACAATGTGGTTTTGTGTGATGATGATGTGCCTTGGTTTACCAACAATGTGGTTTTGTGTGATGATGATGATTGGTTTTACCAACAATGTGGTTTGATGATGTGATGATGATGATGTGCCTTGGTTTACCAACAATGTGGTTTTATGTGATGATGATGTGCCTTGGTTTACCAACAATGTGGTTTTGTGTGATGATGATGTGCCTTGGTTTACCAACAATGTGATTTTGTGTGATGATGATGTGCCTTGGTTTACCAACAATGTGGTTTTGTGTGATGATGATGTGCCTTGGTTTACCAACAATGTGGTTTTGTGTGATGATGATGTGCCTTGGTTTACCAACAATGTGGTTTCGTGTGATGATGACCAATAATGTGGTTTCGTGTGATGATAATGCACCTTGGCTTACCATCAATGTGGTTTCGTGGGATAATGATGCACCGTGGCTTACGAACAATGTGGTTTCGTGTGATGATGATGATGTACCGTGGTTTGTGAACACCATACCCGAGCTCGAGGGTCCAAGTGACAGCTGAAGTGTCAACGTACCTGGTTTTAACCCCCGCCACCACATGGGTGTGTCCGTACCGCAGGGCCGCTGTCTGCATCTCCTGGGATATCCCGGGGTGGACGTGTGGATCGTAGCCTGGGCAGTGAAAGAAGAGAAGACATCGTCAGCTGTTGGAGAAGGTCTTTTTGTATATGACAAAAGGAACGTTTAGTTTCAATGGGGATCTGTCTTGAATAGCATGTTTGTGGGGATATCGGAATATAAATGTCAGATATATGTTACTTGCAATCAACTAATATATTCACACAGTTTCTGTGAATAATACTGAAGAACATGCAATGTGTCTTATTTACATATACAACATGCATGTTTAAATGACTGATACCCGCATTTACCCCCTCAGTCCCCTCAAAATAAACCCAAACAAAGCAATTAAAATAACAACATATTTGCTACCGACCGATATATACGTTCACACTTCCCTAACGTTCTTACCTTCGTACATGGGGATTTCCATCGCCTGAAGAGAGCCGTTATTATTCTTTACTTCCAGAAACACTGGCAGCCAGTCGTACATGACTATTTTCTGGTAAAAGAGAACAAACGTTAACACAGATTAAACACCCGATGTTTTCATGTGGAATATAAGCCACGTGAAGGAAGATGATATAATGCTGGATTCTGGTACATAGTTCCATACAGGTCGATTGTAGGTACACTAAGTGATAATGGGGTGTTGTCTTCAAGCAACGTGTAGGTATAGGATCTAATATTTGGTTGATATATATACATATCACGTTTAGATATACCCACCTGGTGTTGGGCTATTACTCTCTTTCTGGCTGCATTAAACAACTCCTCGTCATTCCAGGTGGTATGGACTTCAGCCAGTTTTCTTGCGACGTAATTGTGATAGCGGAACCACATCACCCCAAATGACAGAAGAAGAGGATTCTCATTTCCACGTGGATTCCCAAGCCCTGGAGCAGGAGTGACGAATCAGTGAGTGTTGACGCAGGTTTGCTTTCATGTAAGACTATTATGTATTATGATTTCTGTCATCTGCGTCTGCAAAACTTCATTCAATTTAGACATGTTTTCATTGCAACAAATCGCCGACAACATCTCTCGTTACAATTTATAATAAAGTTACACTGAGTTCCACATAGTCTGTGAAGACTCTCTATATGCTCTGTACAGTTTTTGTATAGTTTATGTGCAAGTTTTAGATATACACATTTAGTAGATTCGGGGGGGAAAGCGAAACGCAACCACGTTGGGCACTGAAAATGATGAGTTTTCATTTCTCTGTCATCACAAATGTACAACAAGGGACAAGGGAATGACAAATTCAATGCATCAAAGCCATTGGCCGACTGCAGACAGGCGACTCGGCTACGGCCGTAACTATGCACGCTGTTTTCGTTGTTTCGTCAAACGCCATTACAAGCCTATGAAACCGTTATGAGATTCAGGGGTCAACCGTGACCTACCTAGATGCGGTGGACCACTACGGTGCACGGTAAGGTTCATGCGGCCACAACTACTGGAATACTAGGATTGTGCCCCTGACAGTACACTCCCTGCCGCTACTAGATCAATTCGAGGGTTAGTTCTGACTGATTAACGTTGACAGCGACTTCAGTGGTGTCAAGGACACAGCTCTGGAGTCGCGGTTTGGGCTTCTCCATACAAACGGAGGTAGTGTTTACACACGTCGTGGGGAACATTATGCTCGAACCTGCAGACAGGAGGTGGACAGGTTTGGCAGCGGAAGTGCAATGTTGTGGGCTGAAAGACACGTCCAGGGCAATTCACACAAATGACATTCTTCTGTCGTACGTCCATCCCGTTATGCAACAAGCCAACGTCATTTCTCAAAACAACCACCGACCTCACTCGGCAATAATGACAACGGCCTTTTGGGACAACCACAACATTCATGTACTATCATGGCCTGTTACGTGTCATAAAGACGCGGGTCGGCTTCACATGCTCATTACCTGACTAGCTACTCACAAAAGCACGTGGCCAGGGGAGGTAACTCCAGTGGCTTTAACTCTAGTAACTTCTGCCGCTGAGAGAAAAGCAGAGAGGACAGTATACATCACGTAACATGGCCCTCAAGGTCTCCATTCATAAACCCCATCGGACAATGATGGGAGGCTGTTGATCAACGTCAGCAACAGCCACAGAACCTCCAACAATTGACACAAGCATTGCGGTAAGAGTTGGTCAACATTACCCAGCCAAAATTCATAATCTGATTGGTTTTATGGGGTCGCTTTCGCTCGGTCAGATACCATAAGAAGGACACACGTTTCGTATAATTCGTATGTAATGAGACCTCGTGTAGTATTCTCTATTTATTACCCACGTGGTCAACGTATAGGTAGTTGCATACTAATCTCGTACGTCACACGAGTGTCGTATCGCGTTGACCTGTGTCGTAACGACTTGATCAGAGATTCTAGCGATTTGATTGGATAACCGATTAGGTCACGTTGTGACGGAACTACTTTTTCATTCATAACAAACACGTGAATTCATTCATTCTACAACTTATATGCATTGTGGGACGTTGCCGTATCGCTGTTTAACTGTGAGTCGAACTGAGACATTATATGCGTCGAAAAACATAAACGCAAAGGACACTCGTTTCGTATAATTCGTATGTAATGAGACCTCGTGTAGTATTCTCTATATATGCACAGGATCTGTACATATGTTCTCAATGGATCGAATACTGATTCTGTGCGTGAACTGCATGAAATGATTCTACACTCTCTATATAAATCTTCAGCAGGCTCAACGTAGTATATATACAACAGGTTCTATACATACGTTATACAGTAGATTCTATTTTAGATAGATGTTTACACCAGACATTACACAGTAGATTATATACAGGGTGAAGTCTTACGGTAGAATCTGCTGACAGGCCGCAGCATGTGGAGTGCTGGGGCCGGGGGGTTAGCCATGGGAAGTCGGATGTCGTTTATCTTCGGTATAGATTCTGTCAGGATTGCATCAGGATCGTTGGCTATTAACTCTCCACCTTCAAACGATCGAAGCGTGTCCGTCCAAGCCTTGGCGAACCCGTACATCAGATTCCCGTCAAGAAAGGGGGTAATTTCGTTAAGCTAGTGCAGAGATAAAGTAGAATACAGAAACATACTGCTAGAGCAACACTCACAATTCTCAGGAACTCACTGTCTTTCTCAACTGACATGGTTGATCTATTGTTCAACAAAATATACTATACTGAGAAATGAAACCGTTGTTCTCACTATCACTGTAGACAGTGTAGACCCTATGTCATGTTGAACAACGGACAATGTACACCCTGCTTCATGTTAAAAATGACAGTGCAGACCCTACGTGACGTTAAACAACTGACAGTGTAGACCCTGTTCATGTTGAACAACTGACAAGAGTAGACCCTATGCCATGTCAAACAACTGACAGTGTAGATCCTATGTCATGTAAACAACTGACAATGTAGACCCTATGTCATGTTAAACGATTGACAATGTTGACCCTGCGTCACGTTAAACAACTGACAGAGTAGACCCTATATCATTTTAAACAACTGACAGTGTAGACCCTATGTCACGTTAAACAACTGACAGTGTAGACCCTATGTCACGTTAAACAACTGACAGTGTAAACCCTATGTCCTGTTAAACAACTGACAGTGTAGACCCTATGTCATGTTAAACAACTGACAGTGTAGACCCTATGTCATGTTAAACAATAGGCAGTGTAGACCCTATGTCACGTTAAACAGCTGACAGTGTACAACCTACGTCACGTTAAACAGCTGACAGTGTAGACCCTATGTCACGTTAAACAACTGACAGTGTAGACCCTGCTTCATGTTAAAAATGACAGTGTAGACCCTACGTGACGTTAAACAACTGACAGTGTAGACCCTATGACATGTTAAACAACTGACAATGTAGACCCTATGTCATGTTAAACAACTGACAATGTAGACCCTATGTCACGTTAAACAACTGACAGTGTAAACCCTATGTCCTGTTAAACAACTGACAGTGTGGACCCTATGTCACGTTAAAGAACTGACAGTGTAGACCCTATGTCATGTTAAACAACTGACAGTGTAGACCCTATGTCATGTTAAACAACTGACAGTGTAGACCCTATGTCATGTTAAACAACTGACAGTGTAGACCCTATGTCATGTTAAACAACTGACAGTGTAGACCCTATGTCATGTTAAACAACTGACAATGTAGACCCTATGTCATGTTAAACAACTGACAATGTAGACCCTATGTCACGTTAAACAACTGACAATGTAGACCCTATGTCACGTTAAACAACTGACAATGTAGACCCTATGTCATGTTAAACAGCTGACAGTGTAGACCCTATGTCATGTTAAACAGCTGACAATGTAGACCCTATGTCATGTTAAACAACTGACAATGTCGACCCTATGTCATGTTAAACAACTGACAGTGTAGACCCTATGTCATGTTAAACAACTGACAGTGTAGACCCTATGTCACGTTAAACAACTGACAATGTAGACCCTATGTCATGTTAAACAGCTGACAGTGTAGACCCTATGTCATGTTAAACAGCTGACAATGTAGACCCTATGTCACGTTAAACAACTGACAATGTAGACCCTACGTCACGTTAAACAACTGACAGTGTAGACCCTATGTCACGTTAAACAACTGACAGTGTAGACCCTATGTCATGTTAAACGATTGACAATGTAGACCCTTTGTCACGTTAAACAACTGACAGTATAGACCCTATGTCATGTTAAACAGCTGACAGTGTAGACCCTGTTCCATGTTAAACAACTGACAGTGTAGACCCTGTTCCATGTTAAACAACTGACAGTGTAGAGTCTATGTCACGTTAAACAACTGACAATGTAGACCCTTTGTCATGTTAAACGATTGACAATGTAGATCCTGTTCCATGTTAAACAACTGACAGTGTAGACCCTATGTCATGTTAAACAACTGACAGTGTAGACCCTATGTCACGTTAAACAACTGACAGTGTAGACCCTATGTCACACTAAACAACTGACAGTGTAGACCCTATGTCATGTTAAACGATTGACAATGTAGACCCTTTGTCACGTTAAACAACTGACAGTATAGACCCTATGTCACGTTAAACAGCTGACAGTGTAGACCCTGTTCCATGTTAAACAACTGACAGTGTAGACCCTGTTCCATGTTAAACAACTGACAGTGTAGAGCCTATGTCACGTTAAACAACTGACAGTGTAGACCCTATGTCACGTTAAACAACTGACAGTGTAGACCCTATGTCACGTTAAACAACTGACAGTGTAGACCCTATGTCATGGTAAACAAATGACAGTGTAGACCCTATGTCATGTTAAATAACTGACAGTGTAGACCCTATGTCATGTTAAACAACTGACAGTGTAGACCCTTTGTCACGTTAAAGAACTGACAGTGTTGACCCTATGTCATGTTAAACGATTGACAATGTAGACCCTTTGTCACGTTAAACAACTGACAGTATAGACCCTGTTCCATGTTAAACAACTGACAGTGTAGAGCCTATGTCACGTTAAACAACTGACAGTGTAGACCCTTTGTCATGGTAAACGATTGACAATGTAGACCCTGTTCCATGTTAAACAACTGACAGTGTAGACCCTATGTCACGTTAAACAACTGACAGTGTAGACCCTATGTCACGTTAAACAACTGACAGTGTTGACCCTATGTCATGTTAAACAACTGACAGTGTAGACCCTATGTCACGTTAAACAACTGACAGTGTACACCCTATGTCATGTTAAACAACTGACAGTGTAGACCCTATGTCATGTTAAACAACTGACAGTGTAGACCCTATGTCACGTTAAACAACTGACAGTGTAGACCCTATGTCACGTTAAACAACTGACAGTGTAGACCCTATGTCACGTTAAACAACTGACAGTGTAGACCCTATGTCATGTTAAACAACTGACAATGTAGACCCTATGTCACGTTAAACAACTGACAGTGTAGACCCTATGTCATGTTAAACAACTGACAGTGTAGACCCTATGTCATGTTAAACAACTGACAGTGTAGACCCTATGTCACGTTAAACAACTGACAATGTAGACCCTATGTCACGTTAAACAACTGACAGTGTAGACCCTGTTCCATGTTAAACAACTGACAGTGTAGACCCTATGTCACGTTAAACAACTGACAGTGTGGACCCTATGTCATGTTAAACAACTGATACAGTGATTGTTATACCCTTGTCCAACAACTGATACTCGGAGACGATATTAGTGAGAGCGAATGTTCTGTCTTACCTGTTGTCGGGGATTGTTTGGCGAGTAGCCGGTGCTCTGGTCGTATCGAGATCTTAGGAAGGGCATCTCAGGGTCCGGAACATTGAGTTCTTTTGCGTATTTGTGGTCTTTCGGAATTGGGATGTTGAAGAACTCTCTCGGGCAGCCTGGTCTCTGGGAATCCATGATTTCTTCTACTACTTGTTGGCCTGGAGTAGACAACAGGAGACATGAAATCCAAGTATAACACACTGATCTTGAGAAGTACGATTTATATATATATATATATATTGAGGCGCAGAAACCCTAACTCTCCCTGTCTCAGGCTGAAGAGGGTGATGCTCGGCGTGCACCCTTATAAGTCACCATACTAAACACATTGCCCAATATTACAAGGGTACTTCCGTTTTTGAGGATAATTAACTTTTTGCAGTTTAGGGTGAGGGAGTGAGTGGGTTTAGTTTTACGCCACAATATTCCAGCTATATGGCGGCCAGTTAAGGGTGAAATGAAAGACACATTTACACGGGTATTTCTGATGACAGATGCATGGGAGCTAGGGATTTGCAATCAAAATACTTCAGGTCATGATTACCAAAAAATGTCATGAAAGCATTCCTTCTTCTCTCCGAGCCCAAGCCAATTGTTCCATTGTGTGCGGCGTCGCTGATGTCGAAGGGGTTTGGTCGAGTGGTGCCCGAGGGTTCGTACACACCGTCACTGTACTCTGTGGGGCTGCGCCGAAGGAGCTGGCCATCTGTACAAGACGAGGGGCTTTATTAGTTATGCATGATACAAGTCAAGTGGTATATTAGCTGTGTATAATACAAGGTCAAGTGTTGCATTAGGTGTGTATAATGTGTTTTAAATGTTCATAACACGTTGTATTACCATACAACTACTTACCTACAGCTGGTGTCACGAGTATATTACCATACAAACTGACTGCCTGACTGACTGACTGAGTTTGGTTTTACGCCGCTTTTAGCAATATTCCAGCAACATCACGGCGGGGAACACCAGAAATGGGCTTCACACATTGTACCCATGTGGGGATTCGAACCCGGGTCTTCGGCGTGACGAACCATACAAACACTTACCTACAGCTGGTGTCACGAGTATATTACAATACAACTACTTACCTACAGCTGGTGTCACGAGTATATTACCATACAAACACTTACCTACAGCTGGTGTCACGAGTATATTACAATACAACTACTTACCTACAGCTGGTGTCACGAGTATATTACCATACAACCACTTACCTACAGCTGGTGTCACGAGTATATTACCATACAACTACTTACCTACAGCTGGTGTCACGAGTATATTACCATACAACCACTTACCTACAGCTGGTGTCACGAGTATATTACCATACAACCACTTACCTTCAGCTGGTGTCACGAGTATATTACCATACAAACACTTACCTACAGCTGGTGTCACGAGTATATTACCATACAACCACTTACCTACAGCTGGTGTCACGAGTATATTACCATACAACTACTTACCTACAGCTGGTGTTACCAGTATATTACCATACAACTACTTACCTACAGCTGGTGTCACGAGTATATTACCATACAACCACTTACCTACAGCTGGTGTCACGAGTATATTACCATACAACCACTTACCTACAGCTGGTGTCACGAGTATATTACCATACAACTACTTACCTACAGCTGGTGTCACCAGTATGTTACCATACAACCACTTACCTACAGCTGGTGTCACGAGTATATTACCATACAACCACTTACCTACAGCTGGTGTCACGAGTATATTACTATACAACCACTTACCTACAGCTGGTGTCACGAGTATATTACCATACAAACACTTACCTACAGCTGGTGTCACGAGTATATTACCATACAACTACTTACCTACAGCTGGTGTCACGACACGAGTATATTACCATACAAACACTTACCTACAGCTGGTGTCACGAGAATATTACGATGCAACCGCTTACCTACAGCTGGTGTCACGAGTATATTACTATACAACCACTTACCTACAGCTGGTGTCACGAGTATATTACCATACAACCACTTACCTACAGCTGGTGGCACGAGTATATTACCATACAACCACTTACCTACAGCTGGTGTCACGAGTATATTACCATACAACCACTTACCTACAGCTGGTGGCACGAGTATATTACCATACAACCACTTACCTTCAGCTGGTGTCACGAGTATATTACCGTACAAACACTTACCTACAGCTGGTGTCACGAGTATATTACCATACAACCACTTACCTACAGCTGGTGTCACGAGTATATTACCATACAACTACTTACCTACAGCTGGTGTCACCAGTATATTACCATACAACTACTTACCTACATCTGGTGTCACGAGTATATTACCATACAACCACTTACCTACAGCTGGTGTCACGAGTATATTACCATACAACCACTTACCTACAGCTGGTGTCACGAGTATATTACCATACAAACACTTACCTACAGCTGGTGTCACGAGTATATTACCATACAACCACTTACCTACAGCTGGTGTCACGGTATATTACCATACAACCACTTACCTACAGCTGGTGTCACGAGTATATTACCATACGATACCTACAGCTGGTGTCACGGTATATTACCATACAAACACTTACCTACAGCTGGTGTCACGAGTATATTACCATACAACCACTTACCTACATCTGGTGTTAGGAGTATATTACCATACAACCACTTACCTACAGCTGGTGTCACGAGTATATTACCATACAACCACTTACCTACAGCTGGTGTCACGAGTATATTACTATACAACCACTTACCTACAGCTGGTGTCACGAGTATATTACCATACAACCACTTACCTACAGCTGGTGTCACGAGTATATTACCATATATACAACTACTTACCTACAGCTGGTGTCACGAGTATGTTACCATACAACCACTTACCTACAGCTGGTGTCACGAGTATATTACCATACAACCACTTACCTACAGCTGGTGTCACGAGTATATTACTATACAACCACTTACCTACAGCTGGTGTCACGAATATATTACAATACAAACACTTACCTACAGCTGGTGTCACGAGTATATTACCATACAACTACTTACCTACAGCTGGTGTCACGAGTATGTTACCATAGAACCACTTACCTACAGCTGGTGTCACGAGTATATTACCATACAACCACTTACCTACAGCTGGTGTCACGAGTATATTAGCATACAAACACTTACTTACAGCTGGTGTCACGAGTATATTACCATACAACCACTTACCTACAGCTGGTGTCACGAGTATATTACCATACAAACACTTACCTACAGCTGGTGTCACGAGTATATTACCATACAACTACTTACCTACAGCTGGTGTGACGAGTATGTTACCATACAACCACTTACCTACAGCTGGTGTCACGAGTATATTACCATACAACCACTTACCTACAGCTGGTGTCACGAGTATATTACCATACAAACACTTACCTACAGCTGGTGTCACGAGTATATTACCATACAACTACTTACCTACAGCTGGTGTCACCAGTATATTACCATACAAACACTTACCTACAGCTGGTGTCACGAGTATAGTACCATACAACCACTTACCTTCAGCTGGTGTCACGAGTATATTACCATACAACTACTTACCTACAGCTGGTGTCACAAGTATATTACCATACAACCACTTACCTACAGCTGGTGTCACGAGTATATTACCATACAACTACTTACCTGCAGCTGGTGTCACGAGTATATTACCATACAACCACTTACCTACATCTGGTGTTAGGAGTATATTACCATACAACCACTTACCTACATCTGGTGTTAAGGGTTAACTACTTACCCACAGCTCCCCAGTTTGGATGAAGAAGGTTGTTGTACCATCCGTCTGCGGGAGTCAGCTCAAACTCTGAAAATATAGATGTTCATAGGAAGCTGACACCTGATACGGTGTGTGAATGTATGCAAAGCGACAAGGTGCACTAATCTTTACATGATCACATGGTGCGGTAATGCAAGCAAGGAGACATGGTGCACTAATCTTTACATGAACACATGGTGCAGTAATGTATGCAAGGAGACAGGGTGTAGTAATGTATGCAAGGAAATATGGTGCACTAATCTTGACATGACCACTTGGTGCAGTAATGTATGCAAAGAGTCAGGGTGCACTAATCCTTACATGAACACGTGGTGCGGTAATGCATGTGTAGCAGGGCGTGGCGTCATCCCACAGATGGCATCCTTACCATGTCAGCTTGCTGACGGGGTTAACCTTTTGGTCATGTGGACAAGGCGTCCGACTTCTGATCAGAAGGTCCGTGGTTCGAATCCCAGCACGGGACTCGGAAATTTTATGGCCGCTACACATGCAAGAAGGCAGGGTGCACTAATCTTTACATGAACACGTGGTGCGGTAATGCATGCAAGGAGACAAGGTGCACTAATCCTCTTTACATGAACACATGGTGCAGTAATGTATGCAAGGAGACAGGGTGCACTAATCTGTACATGACCACATGGTGCAGTAATGTATGAATGGAGACAAGGTGCACTAATCCTCTTTACATGACCACATGGTGCAGTAATGTATGCAAGAAGGCAGGGTGTACTAATCTTTACATGAACACATGGTGCAGTAATGTATGAAAGGAGACAAGGTGCACTAATCCTCTTTACATGAACACATGGTGCAGTAATGTATGCAAGGAGACAGGGTGCACTAATCTGTACATGACCACATGGTGCAGTAATGTATGAAAGGAGACAGGGTGCACTAATCCTCTTTACATGACCACATGGTGCAGTAATGTATGCAAGAAGGCAGGGTGTACTAATCTTTACATGAACACATGGTGCAGTAATGTATGAAAGGAGACAAGGTGCACTAATCCTCTTTACATGAACACATGGTGCAGTAATGTATGCAAGGACACAGGGTGCACTAATCTGTACATGACCACATGGTGCAGTAATGTATGCAAGAAGGCAGGGTGCACTAATCTGTACATGAACTACTACTGCATGTAAGGACAAATGACACATTATAGTAAGCATGGGCACTCGGTGAACTAGTGGAACTCGGGGACAAGGTTCCTTAATATAAGTAGAATGGGTGCAGTAATTCAACCACGGAATGGGTGAATGAGTATAGTTGTACGCGCACTCAGCAATATTCCAGCAATATGGCGGCGGTCTGTAAATAATTGAGTTTGAATCAGTCAATCCAGTGATCAACAGCATGAGCATTGATCTACGCAATTGAGATACGATGACGTGTGTCAACCAAGTCAGCGAGCCTGACCACCCGATCCCGTTAGTCGCCTCTTACGACAAGACCACGGAAAGAAGATAAACCCGAGTGTTCTGTATGTGGATGGTATAAAGTATTTCAATGTATAGGTTCTGCTCTATGGTATAGTGCAGTATGTTATTCAATAATGGTGAAATGATATACGCAAATGAAAGTGTACACCATGTCTACAAGAACGTAACACTAATATTATGGAATTGACCTTATAATCTGATTTTGCTAATAAGGATTGTTCGATGTGCCGTAAAATCTACTTAATAGCATGTCGACCCGACGAATATAATACAGTAGCGATCGCCCACCTTCTTCGGAAGTTGTCAGGTTGCAAGACTGCGGACGCTCCATGTACATCTGTCCAGCTGTTGAAACAAGGAAGTAATACATGAAAGTAAGAATTTGGTTTGCATATTATTTATTATCAGTGTTTTAGGTGTAGATAGTCAACCTTTTGAAGCAGGAATATCATAATTTGCGATATGACGAACAAATATGGTACAAAATACAAGATATATTCTACGTGGTTATTTCGACACTCAAAGTAACAAGCAAGTAACTACAAAGCCTATAGTTCTGCTGGGATGACTGACAACGGGGAAATAACGGGTATATAGAACAGAAGGATAAACTGGACTGATGAACACATAACTACAAAGCCTATAGTTCTGCTGGGATGACTGACAACGGGGAAATAACGGGTATATAGAACAGAAGGATAAACTGGACTGATGAACACATAACTACAAGGCCTATAGTTCTGCTGGGATGAGTGACAACGGGGAAATAACGGGTATATAGTACAGAAGGATAAACTGGACTGATGAACACATAACTACAAGGCCTATAGTTCTGCTGGGTTGACTAACAACGGGGAAATATCGGGTATATAGTACAGAAGGATAAACTGGACTGATGAACACAAAACTACATAGCCTATAGTTCTGCTGGGATGAGTGAAAACGGGGAAATAACGGGTATATAGAACAGAAGGATAAACTGGACTGATGAACACATAACTACAAGGCCTATAGTTCTGCTGGGATGAGTGACAACGGGGAAATAACGGGTATTTTGTACAGAAGGATAAACTGGACTGATGAACACAATACTACAAAGCCTATAGTTCTGCCTGGTTGACTGACAACGGGGAAATAACGGGTATATAGTACAGAAGGATAAACTGGACTGATGAACACCGCACTACAAAACATATAGTTCTGCTGGGATGACTGACAACGGGGAAATAACGGGTATATAGTACAAGTGGATAAACTGGACTGATGAACACATAACTACAAGGCCTTTAGTTCTGCTGGGATGACTGACAACGGGGAAATAACGGGTATATAGTACAGAAGGATAAACTGGACTGATGAACACATAACTACAAGGCTTATAGTTCTGCGGGGATGACTGACAACGGGGAAATAACGGGTATATGGTACAGAAGGATAAACTGGACTGATGAACACATAACTACAAGGCTTATAGTTCTGCGGGGATGACTGACAACGGGGAAATAACGGATATATAGTACAGAAGGATAAACTGGACTGATGAGCACATAATTACAAGGCCTATAGTTCTGCTGGGATGACTGGCAACGGGGAAATAACGGGTATATCGTATCCCGGTATCAGGGGTTTTCGACGATGTAAGACAAAAACGTAATTTTTATCTGTAATATCATGTGACTTTTTAATTTTACTAACCTTTGGTGATAAAGGATATATTCATCTATTTCACACAAAAATATCAAGTGTTTCCTACAAAAATAAGGTTGATGACATCGTATCGGCGAAACTGTTGCCGTTCGCCACATCCGTGGATTTTGTATGGGTTTTCGACGATGAGCCATACTTTTGCTCCGCACTGCGAGGGATTGTTGTGATAACGTGGCTTTCTATTTAAATATTGCCTGTCACCAGCAGACGAATGATCTTACTAAATTTTCGCTTGCTATTTTTTGTTATAAAGGCAATTGATTTTGCATCTGAAGTGGTATTAACGATCTCGGGTAAATAATATTGATTTTTGTTTGCTTTTTAAACAACTTAACTTCCGGTTTTCAATTGTCAATAAAACTTCTCACGACAATGACTGGGCATCCGCCCTGCCGATGAAATTGCTTGTGCTAACCGATCGCCCACGTACTCCCCCGATATAGCGCCAGCAATGCAATCATCGAAAACACCAGAACGTCGAATTCAGCTCGCTTTGGGATAAACTGGACTGATGAATACAGTACTACAAAGCCTACAGTTCTGCTGGGACGACTGACAACGGGGAAATAACGGGTATATAGTACAAATCGATAAACTGGACTGATGAACACATAACTACAAAGCCTATAGTTCTGCTGGGATGACTGACAACGGGGAAATAACGGGTATATAGAACAGAAGGATAAACTGGACTGATGAACACATAACTACAAGGCCTATAGTTCTGCTTGGATGACTGGCAACGGGGAAATAACGGGTATATAGTACAAATGGATAAACTGGACTGATGAACACGTAACTACAAAGCCTATAGTTCTGCTGGGATGACTGACAACGGGGAAATAACGGGTATATAGAACAGAAGGATAAACTGGACTGATGAACACATAACTACAAGGCCTATAGTTCTGCTGGGATGAGTGACAACGGGGAAATAACGGGTATATAGTACAAGTGGATAAACTGGACTGATGAACACATAACTACAAGACCTATATAGTTCTGCGGGGATGACCGACAACGGGGAAATAACGGGTATATAGTACAGGAGGATAAACTGGACTGGACAGGCCCTATATTTCACTTGAACAGAGACTACTTAACAGTAGTTTTTATTGGACATAGATATCGATAGTTCAGATAACAAACAAACTAGGTTTAAATTTCACTTGGTTTGACTGAAACAAACAACAGAACAACACGGTCTATAATTCACCGTCTGGGGCAACAGAACAAGTTCTTTAGTTCAGCAAATTATATTAATGTGGACAACAACGAGTATTTCAAAGCATTTTCTGGATTTCTGTCTGATGCGGTCGGGAATTTATCCACTGCCATTTTGCTCTCCAGGCAGGTTCGCCTTCCACTGGACGGTCGTTTAAACACAAACTCAAAATCACGTTACCCTGTCACTTTCGCCGAAACGCTGATAACATATCTGTGTTGACCGGATGTTTATGTCCATGTTTATGAGTCTGTGTTCATGAAACGAGTAAAGCGCATCAATGTCTGAGGATCCGGTTACCGGAAGTTCGTGGAGGATGATGGCGTGTCAGACCTCGCTTATCGCGGGGAGAAACGATTTCAGTGAAGAATGACAGAGCTTCCTGTTCTCATTGGACAACTTGAAGTGTTCCGCTCGGACAGATACGAACATAGATGGGCTTCCCTCACTTTGGCTACAACGCTTTCCGTGAACATGACACGAAAACACAGTGTTGATTTACTTCATTGAAAGTCAGTTAGAATCGTGGAGTTTCACCCTTTAGGTTAATATTTGTTTCCTAGGTATACTCAATGTATTTATAAATGTTCAGCTGATATAATTTCCACATCAACCTTTCAAAATGAATTACGGAAACACAAGACAAGATGCTTGTGATGTGTTCTGATGGACACATTAAGGCAGACTGACAGTGACTTGTCATATAGATAGGGTCATAATCATCCAACATGGCGACCATAGTCCCGGCCTTACAACACCATGTACGTAGGGCAGATGCGATAGCACCGATAAACAACACTATATATTCCAAACTAAGCGGGCGCGCCATTTTATCACCTGTAAGGTAAATTCCACATAGTGACCTATTACCTCAACCATGGTCAGAGGTAATTCCACATAGAGCCAAGCCCTTCTATTTCTTTAACCATGGTGAGAGTTAACTCCACACAGAGACACGCCCTTCTATTACCTACACATGGCTAGTGCTAGCTCCACATGGAAGACACGCCCTTCTATTACCTACACATGGTTAGAGTTAGCTCCACATACTAACACGCCCTTCTATTACCTACACATGGTTAGAGTTAGCTCCACATACTAACACGCCCTTCTATTACCTACACATGGTTAGAGTTAGCTCCACATACTAACAAGCCCTTCTATTACCTACACATGGTTAGAGTTAGCACCACATGGAAGACACGCCCTTCTATTACCTACAAATGGTTAGAGTTAGCTCCACATGAAGGACACCCCATTCTATTACCTACACATGGTTAGAGTTAGCTCCACATGGAGGACACGCCCTTCTATTACCTACACATGGTTAGAGTTAGCTCCACATGGAGGACACGCCCTTCTATTACCTACACATGGTTAGAGTTAGCTCCACATACTAACAAGCCCTTCTATTACCTGCACATGGTTAGAGTTAGCTCCACATGGAAGACACGCCATTCTATTACCTACACATGGTTAGAGTTAGCTCCACATACTAACACGCCCTTCTATTACCTACACATGGTTAGAGTTAGCTCCACATGGAAGACACGCCATTCTATTACCTGACTAGAGTTAGCTCCACATGGAGGATTCGCCTTTCTACCAGCTTCACATGGTTAGAGTTAGCTCCACATAGAGACACGCCCTTCTATTACCTACACATGGTTAGAGTTAGCTCCACATGGACGACACGCCCTTATATTACCTACAAATGGTTAGAATTAGCTCCACATGGAGGACTCGCCCTTCTATTACCTGCACATGGTTAGAGTTAGCTCCACATGGAAGACACGCCCTTCTAATACCTGCACATCGTTAGAGTTAGCTCCACATGGACGACACGCCCTTCTATTACCTGCACATGGTTAGAGTTAGCTCCACATGGAGGACACGCCCTTCTATTACCTGCACATCGTTAGAGTTAGCTCCACATGGAGGACTCGCACCTTCTATTACCTACACATGGTTAGAGTTAGCTCCACATGGAAGACACGCCCTTCTATTACCTACACATCGTTAGAGTTAGCTCCACATGGAGGACTCGCCCTTCTATTACCTACACATGGTTAGAGTTAGCTCCACATGGAAGACACGCCCTTCTATTACCTGCACATCGTTAGAGTTAGCTCCACATGGAGGACTCGCCCTTCTATTACCTACACATGGTTAGAGTTAGCTCCACATGGAAGACACGCCCTTCTATTACCTACACATGGTTAGAGTTAGCTCCACATGGAGGACACGCCCTTCTATTACCAACACATGCTTAGAGTTAGCTCCACATGGAGGACACGCCCTTCTATTACCTGCACATGGTTAGAGTTAGCTCCACATGGAGGACACGCCCTTCTATTACCTACACATGGTTAGAGTTAGCTCCACATGGAGGACACGCCCTTCTATTACCTAC